TATGTGCATCGGACACTGCTACGCGCTGGAGCTGATTTCCGAGTGTGTGATTCGATCGCGCAGGGTCGGTCGAATCTTGATATAAGGATGCGCCTCGCATGTGCCGACCGGTCGAGCTGTGTCGAAGTGCACCGGGGAGTGGGAAGACGGCATATGTAATGGATATTGTAAGGGATGAGCTCCCCGGTATGGGAAGACAACACATTCACTACTGCGAGACAGTGTAGAAGAAGAAATAATGATATATTATGATGTTTAAATTTTTTTTTTCAATGTATAGATTTTGTCTGTGATACTTTTTAATTTATTGTAAAGTCCTTCTGTAGCATCGTGAGTTATCGCAGTGCATGTTCCCTCAGTTCATTACCTACTTGGCATGTTTCGTCTCATTCAGACAACAGTCGTTCTGCTGTGGTTCCTGATTGTTGTGTATTCTAAAGTACCACGCAAGCAGAGTTCCGTCATCCTTCCTCCACGTCGTAAAACTATTACGTTATACAAATACACAAACGGATCTGCTGAACAGGTTTCCTGCTGACGATAAGCGTTACCTGAAGCGACTTAATTTCTTCGAGATATCGAATTAGAGTGCTTTGATCACACCGCAGCGATTCCACAACCTTTGAATGATTGAGCTTGATCGGGCACTCCTTGAGGCCATCAATTACGCCACCGTCCTGGCCAACTTTGAGCAAAAAATTAATCCAATCCAACAGTATCTTCTCAGATTGAGATCTGCAAAATTGCTCAATCAATTGCTTGTCCGGACTTCACAAAAGTAATAGTTGCAGATTTTGGCTCAAATCATAGTCGTCAGGTTATAATCTGGAAACCTGGAGCAACTTATTTAAAGGAGTCTTGAGAAGTACTAAGTCATGAGGAAGTGCATTACAGCGCCGTAATATGTGACACCATCAAAATTTAGGGGAATATTCCCCGACCACGTGTAACCCGGCAAACTTAATTTCAGCCTTCCCCTCCCTTGGGTACCCTGTACGACCCAGTGAAAGTTCTGAAAATTATTATCTCGGGAATTATGAAAGTCAGGAAGTTGAAATTTTTGGGTAGTGACCCTGCCCATATGTGGTCCCGCAAATTTAATTCCAGCCTCCCCCTCCCTTAGGTACCATGTACAACCCAGGGAAAGTTTTGGCGGGAAAATTACTGTTTTGGGCCCGACCATTGTGAACGTTAGTGGGATGAGACCAATGCGGCTCTGCTGGCCTCTTTTCCCCTGGACTGCCTGCTTCCAGCACTATGTCCACAACGCAGATCACTACCATCGACAAAACCTCGCCACTTATCTTCAACCAGCAATGCAAAATGAAACCGAAACACAAGACTGTCTCACATATTTTTGGAATTTCGTATAAATCACACAAAGAGTGCCAAGGCAGTGGGTGTATGTTGCCACGTCAGTGATAGAGAGACGCTCCTTACACGTCCAGCAGAGCAGTGACAAAGGCTTCGGCCCTAAACTGCATATCTTCAGTGAGCAGCATCTGCTGTTTCATATAGTTAACGAACCAAAATTGTTTTCTCCCCCTGATAGAGCCTCTTGACTAGTAAACTTGTTTCTCTCCTCTATCCTGTCTTCAATTCCTGCCTCCAGAACCGCATCGGAGCGCCTACCATCCACCACCCCCAACCACTGTTACCATTTCTTGCCTCGAGCTCCTGACTAGTACTTAGTGATAAATGTGTTAGTGACTGCGCTTAACTGACCTTGAGAAAAACCGAAGACATAAATTTGCGACGTCGCTATCCCACAAATCCTCGGCGTACAATTCGCGGCTTAACACCAGTGCCGTTTCGCAATCACCAAAGCAAAAAGCAATACTAATGAGGAATTTGCGACGATCGTTTGCTCGCATCCACTCACAACAGTCTACAAACGAACAGCGGAAATTCATCGCCATATCTTCCGGATTTAAGAAAACTTTTTGTTCTGACATTAGCCTCAGCAATACTGCGTCGATATCCTGAAATAATTCGACTTCAAAGAGATGACAGGTGGCTCTGAATAATTTCGCACGTCACTCATACTGAAGCTAAAATCTGTTACTAATGTTATTGCTAATGAGGTGATGTGCGTTATGAGGGAAATGTATGCTAGAAAGAAAAGCTCGCTGGTTATTGGTAAGAAATGTATACGACTTAATGGACCGAAACGTTTCTTACCATTGAAATAATTCTGTTAATCTGCAAATTTTGTAATTCTCATGTCTTTGCTTCTTTTTTGTTCTCTTTTCATCCGTTGTTAATATGCCTTCCTATTAAATGGCAATGCAAAGAGACAGCAGATGAATCGCCAAGACCAATGAATAGGCGTTAAACGACTGGTGAGAAGATCGTGGGCATGGGTTCGTTGAGATAATTCACCTATTCAAGGCACAAAAAGTGATTTCAAATAAAAAGGTAACTTGAAAACAAAAATAGTACCCTTGCAAATTCTTTAGCCCAGCGAAGCTCCCTCACTTTCCTGAGATAATTTTCTAGAAAAATCCTCATTTCAACAAAAGCCGTGCTAAAATCATCATCAGTACCACATGCTGACATCATTCGTGGTTGAAAGCCCGAAGGAAACGGAAGTAGGACATCGAACATGGCTAAAACCTGAAAAACGAAAACTGTTTTGGCTGAACAGCTGAAATGCATACTTTTTTTCAAGCGATAAATTTAAAATAAATTTTCAGATGCAAAAATTAAGTTTTTTTACTATTATTTTCTCTTCTTTTCTTATTCCTATTTCGAAATACCTTTCTATTTAAAATCCATGTTGTCCAGGTCTCCTTTCAATATCTCTTTCTTGAGGGCTTGGTGTTCCAGTGCAAAACATGAAAAGAACGAGAGGGAGTGAATGGGTACTGGCTGTTGCAGAAACTGTGATAGAGATGTCGCCCGGGTAAGCTAAAAAACAAACGTTCCGTTCAGTGAGTGACATGAAAATGTCGCTT